ACAGGACTGTGGGCAATGGCCATAAGATCGAAAACAGAAGGTTCAACCTGACCATGAGGAAACCCTTCTTCCCTGTGAGGGTGACAGAGCCCTGGAACAGGCTGCCCAGAGAGGTGGTGGAGTCTCCTTCCCTGGAGACTTTCCAAAGCAACCTGGACTTGTTCCTGCGTGATCTGCTCCAGGTGATCCTGCTCTGGCAGGGGGTTGGACTAGATGATCTCTAGAGGTCCCTTCCAAGTCCTTCCACTCTGTGAATCTGTGGATTTTCCATGCCAAATTATAAAAAATGTGCTTTTCCCCCAAAACCCACAAACCAGTCCCAGCAGCTATCAGTGTTGTTGTAGGAAAGCACCGCAAGCAAGAAGAATCTTTGAGGCACAGTTTCAAGGCTGTGAAGATCTAAGTAGGTTCCTTTTAAATGTTTGCCAAAGGACCCCCATGGAGTAACCTGTAAGAAAAGTGGAATATTTAGATGAACTCAACCATGTGTCTTTATCATTTCCAATAGGAGGCAAAGGAAGGCTTTGATTTCCAACAGAGGGATAATGCTGGTTTGGACTGTGCAGCCTCTACAGCGTGTATGCTCATGAATTCTGGCTTAGTGAAGTACTGCTGGGTAATGTTTCCAGCAATTTTCAGACTTGATCCAGTAATTTATTCTATCCTTAATTTCTTGAACAAACATACTCTTTTTAAGTGCAACTTTCCAGGACCCTAAATAAAGAGATGCAGAATGTAGAATTTCTGTTCTGGCTGTATATATTCTATTTACCTCTGCCAAAGGGACTTTTTTTTTTTTTTTGGTCAGAGGAGGTAATGTGTGCCAGTGGATTCAGATAAGCTGTTTTCACCATGACATTCTTAGTTGCTTCCAACATGGCAGATGTCAGAGTTGAATCTTTTTTCCCCAACTTTACAGGGCACTGTGTAACATTTTCAATCAGCCTGTGTTCTGTGCAGGTTTGCATGGCCAGTTGGGTTGTATGCGTTGTAATTGCATATGCAGACTACCTGTAGTTACAAGCTTTAGGCAAGCAGAAAGGCAGGGTTGCAGGGACAGTTATGACTTCTCTTTACATACACAGTCACAGTCATTTTCAGATGCAGCTGACATCAGGGGCAGGACGAGATATTCTGCGCTCACATATCTGATGAGCTGAGTTCATGATAAATCAGCAACTGGTCTTCAGAAGGATGAGTGATGCTGCACTTAGAAGTGACACTTCATTATGTTTGTCCTACCACAAAGTCCAAAAGTGTGGTGAAAGCTGAAAAAAAAAGAAGGAAAAAATCAGGCCACATACTCCTATACTCTGATAATATATAGCGCGCATACTCCTGTACTCTGAATGCTGATATGGCAGATAGGTAGAATCATTTAGATTGGAAATGACTCTTAAGATCCAACTGCCCAACTGTAAATGTAACACTGCCAAGTCCACCACTAAACCATGTCCCTAAATGCCACATCTTCATGTCTTTTAAATACCTCCAGGGCTGGTTACTCAACCATTTCTCTGAGCAACCTGCTCAATGCTTGATAACCCTTTTGGTGAAGAAATATATATCTGAATGGGTACAGAGGTAGAGAAAACCTTTCAGTAGCTAGCAGATATGACACAGCAGTCAGTAAATCAGGGGAAAACCCTATCCTTGCAAAGAGCTATATTACTGAACATCACATAGAGTATTAATCCACTGTGTTTTCTAAAACTGAAACCTCGTGTTCATCTTTGCTACACATTGTGAGACCTTGTTTGATATGAGCTGGTGTGTTGAGATGAAAAATCCCAAGACTTTGATGAAACAACATCATATTTCTGATGCACTTTACCACCTAATTTTTACATGAACATAGGAAAAAGCACAGTGAGAAATGAGCCTACAATTTTTCTATTAGACACGTTTGAAAAAAGTACCATGTTTCTTTAAAAATGCCACCCCTCAAGTAGGGGTGATAAACTGCAGTACGTAAGTATGAAACTAAGTGAGTTTCCTGGAATAAGGCAGAATCTGTTGTGGAGACAGAAGACGTTATGCACTGAGAGATGGAAGGCATTTTCCCTTTTACAGTGGGTTGTTTCTTGCCATTTGTAGGCTGCAGTTGTTTTTCAAAAAAGCAATATGGAAATGCTTAGCTGCATTCTGCTATAAAGTTCCTCTGAGCAAAGATTATTAAAAATGACAGGCACATTTCCGTGTATTTGATAATGTCAAGAGCAGAAGTGCTGCACGTTGGTGTTATGAGATATCAGAATAATTCTCTTTTCTGCAAAATCTGTAATGCTTAATGGAAGAATGTCATTTTGGGCTTGCTTGCAAGGGTAATTACATTGTGACTCGATAAGGCACCTTAAACTTGCTTCATTTTGGGAGCATCTTTCAATCCGCCACTATTCAAGACAGCATTAGCAAAAATATGTATTTAAGTTTTTGCTTAAATGCTTTGCTGAATTCAGGCTTCAGAAATTAACTGTTTTCCATCAAACAGTGTTCACTGCATCACACTTGTAATAGTCTACTGAGGTTGATGCATTTTCAGTTGGAAAGGCTTACTTAAAACATGATTTACTTGAGTATGGCATGTCGTTCTTTGGTGTTGCATAACTCAACTGGCTGAGGTTGGCAGTAGCGGTGACATGTTTGGAAAGGGCAGAATTAAACCAGAAGAGAATGTAATTCCGACAGCGGGTTTGAGGTAGTGCTCCCTACTCTACCGTGTCCTCCTCCTGCACTAGTGATATGTGCAATGAGGTAATCTTGGGACTTTCTGATGTTTGCTAATCCAATTTTTCTCTCTTTGGAATCGGTAGTGACTGGCATCTAGAGTTTACAAGACATACCCAAGTCATCTGCTGAAGCTGGCTGTGAAATTAAAACTCTGAAATGCCACACTGAATCTTTCTTACCCACACCTTGGCCATTGACAAAGCACCCAATTTGTATAGATATCTCCTTGCAAGGCTTCCCAGGTTCCTTTCTTCTCCATTCCATTTCTTCCTTGGGACTGAGGCCATTCTCTACTCATAGGACATGCTAGCTGAGCTACATGAAGATGCCCATGATTCTTTGGATAGTGTCTTCAAGGTTTACTGGCAGGCTGAAGCTACATTTAAAAATTAGTTTGGACTAATACAGAGTATAGAGTTAAAATGCATTGGTTTATTTTTTAATAACTCCATGTGTGGACATTATCTGTATGACTGGTTTTGTAAATTAATGTAGACTGAGTGGCTATATGAGCTGTATGGGTAAATTCAATAAATAACCCTGTACATGTATGTGTGTGAGAGTGTGTGCATAAATAGAAATTTTAAGTTTACACCTATGCATTTGCAGTAATTTGTAACCATACATAAAAATTCTTTGAAGTTATCCTTGATTTATGAATAGCATTTACTGGAGTATACATATTTATTTTTAATTACCTTTGGGTTTTTTTTTTTTCAGCTCTTCTTTATGCAACTATTTTTGGAAACGTCACCACCATTTTCCAGCAAATGTATGCCAACACCAACCGATACCATGAGATGCTGAACAATGTGAGGGATTTCCTAAAATTATATCAAGTCCCAAAAGGCCTTAGTGAAAGAGTCATGGATTATATTGTCTCAACCTGGTCCATGTCTAAAGGAATTGACACTGAGAAGGTATGAGTACATGAGGTAACAATGTAGATAGAAGTGTTTGTGTCCATTGTGTACTTTTTTACAAACAGGACTGTATAACAGCATATAACTTACTAACAAATTCTTAACTGCATGCTACTCCACTCTTATGTTTCTGTTTGTATCAAAACCTGGATGTTTTAAAGAAGGACTGTTTTACTGCTTTGGAAATATGCCTTTATTTTTCATTATGGTAAATGTTTTATGCTTTCCAGTCTTACTTTGCCTAAATATTAAATGATTTTCTTGTACTTCACTATTGAAATCAATGGGAAATTGGTCTTCAAATTAGTCTGAAAATATAATTTGGTGTCTAACCTACATCAGTATTATTCTGAAAAGTATTGGCATCCGTGAGGTGCAATGAAATGAGTTTGATTGGCTTGGACCTTTTGCTGTTGCCCAGGACATCGACATATCCATCAGCATAATTAGTATAGGATTTAATGGCAGTAGAGATCGATCTCCTTGAGCTAAAATCTCTTGGCTAGAACTTCAGGCCTTTGGTAGGGACATACAGAAAATACTGCTGGCAGCCATGCAAGGTAGAAGTCCTACAGGACTTTAGCCCTCAGGAAGGACTGGTCATTTAGGTTTCTTCAAAAACTGATTAAAGGACAAGGTCATCCTTGGAGCATGATTCATTGTGTGCCAGGACAGAACAAGTGAATTGTCCTCAGGGCCTCTCTTTCTCCATGATATGTGCCGTGAGTCTGTCTAGCCTTGGATATTTTAGACAGCTGAAGTCAGATGGAAGGGCTTCCACCTGCAATACCTTGAATGCAGGCAAGACATAGTTTTATGTCTAGATTTTTGGTCAGTGGAGGTTGGTGATACTCCTGTGGCTTCTGTGGACCTGATGCTCATCAGCTGAAATTAGGCATTCAAGCTCCAGTTTCCATGAAGACTTCCCTCCTAAGAACTTAAAAAGCAAGTGTCCAAGGGAGAATAAGGAAGAGTCATGGCAGATGAGTATCTTAAAATGTTAGTGCTTACAGAGTTTTGAAGTTCTTCCTTCAGTTCAGTCTATTGTGTAATAGGGAATGATGATCCAGCTTGTTCAGATATGCCAAGATGAAGTCACTACACTGAAAAATTGAATCTTACATCATGCTGATGCAATGAAGTTATCTTATTAATTATCTGCAGTAAAATTCATTTTACCATTAAAAATACAACTATTTCAAGTAACAGGGATTTTGATTTCTTTGATTCTTGTCCTTCAGTATGTCATATTCTTTAATACGTTAACTTCTTATACACTAATACCCTAACTTCCCAATGCTGATTCATACAGTGTTAAAAGTGAGCTTTTTGTATTGTAAAATACTGTAAATGCATTCAGTCCTATTGTGTAAACTCAAAACCATGTGAAAATTCAACTTTCATTTGCATTTATCTCCTTGCAGTTAAGCCAGAATCCTGTATTATTCCACTACAGTTTCATTAGATTTTAATGATGCTTTGCAGTTAATTAGGAGAACCTATGCTTTAATTACTGAAATTTTCTTCCATAGTTTCCGCATGTCCGGTTTTATAGTTTATAAAAATGCAGTTAGAGATATAATCTTCGACTCGCGGTAAGCAGTGTTCTCTGGTCTATAAGATAGTAGTGGCTGCTTAACTAGATAATTAATATGGCTGTAAAATCTGTGACTTAGGTTTTTAACAATTTTCCCTTGGTAAAGACTTACCTAAACTTAGGCCTGGATCCAAAACCTATTTAAAACAGTGGAAGGATTTCAGGAACCTCTGCATCTGGACATCAGTAGTTGCATCTAATCGAACATCCCAGAAAAGCCCATGTTACAGAAGAACAGAGACAAGATAAACGTAAGAATTTGAGCACCGGTTTGAATATTTTGGTGTTTTGTATCCCTTACAGCCCGCCAGTCTGCAAAAGCAACAGCACCAACAGCCTGTAGTGCCCACACTGAGCATCCCTGGGCCTGTACGAGTGTGAGGATTAAGCAGTTTGCTTTCAGCTGCAGGACCTTAGCCAAGTCAGGATTTGTTCTAGCAAAAGGGTGGGAAGCTGTGTCATAGCCAAGCAGCCTTACGACCTTTATCTCCTCTCAGGAAAGTGTTGTAATGTGCTTCACCAAAACAAATGAGAAAATGTTGTAAATCACAGCTGAGAAATGACAGGAACAGTGGTACAGTCCCAGAGAGTAGTCATGTAGAGTGGATCATTTCTCTTGCATTAGTTCCTTCATTGCCCCCTCAAGTCCTGTTGCAAGACTCTGCATTTAAATTGAAACCATCTGTACTACCCCTGAGCAGCAGGTGGATAGGAGTGCAGTGTAGGGACCTCCCAGGTACACAGAGTCAGATTTATTACTGTAGACACAGCAGGGCTAATGGGACTACATTGCACCTGCAGCTGACCTGCTAAATCCAGGTAGTGCTCCAGCATACAGTGGAGTAGGGGATTACTGCCCCAAGTCTTGAATTGCTTCTCTGCACTGCTTTGTCTGACAGCCTGGATGTGACCTTAGGGGTTTCTTCCAGTCTAGTTTTCAAAGCTCCAGTAATGAGATTCTGACCAGTCTGTTGTCTGGTTATCTTTGCATCACATGATTTCCCATTCTCCTTAAAAAATTTTATGAACTTTTCAATAAGCTTCTTACTATCTTGCAGAACACAAGTGCTCATGACACATGATAATTAGTGAGGAATTTCTCAACTTTTCAGTTTCCATCAGACAGCTCAGGCAGTTTCCATCATCCAAGGATGTTTTTCAACCTAACATACAGTATTACATCCTTAACTGTTCCAAATATATCTGCATTGTCACGCTGGAATGTGTTTTGCAACATCACTTGCTACAAATTTATCATACATTTCATTCAGTCACTCAGCATGTTGAAATGGCTTTGTTTTGAAATCCAAATTCAAAGAACAAGAAGGTTAATGTACTAAGAAAGAATGACATTTCTTCTATGAGTGTTAGAGTAGGTTCCTATGGTGATGAACAGTCCTAGCAATTTGATGGAGTAAAAATAAACACACGCATGTATTTCTTTGATAACTAGGGATTTTAAATTCATATGCTTGAAATTAAAATATAAATTAATAATTTGATTGGAATTACTACCATTACACATATTACTACCACTTAATATGTTTAGATTTATTGTATTAGAGCTCAAATATCTGTTCTTGAATTACATATTCAATGTGTAGCCCTAGAGAAGATCTTGGCTAAAATTGGCAAGGGAACTGAAGGCAAAGTCAAAGTTATCACGGAGGAAGTTTGATGAAGATCTAGTCCTCGTTGCTTGCAAGACCAAGCTATCCTGAACAGAACTTTGTTTTAAAGCCCCAGTCTGTTGTCCTTGTATGTGGAAGAGGAATTGTTCTCCCACACTAAAATGATGGTGCCATAAGCACAGAATTTTGGCTTCCCTGTTACCCTTAGGAGTAGCTCGTCTTCAAATCACAGCGCTTCATCCTGTCTCTGAGTGTTCACAAATAAGGAATTAACAATGACACTAAAAGCATTAGTGTATTTATTATTATTACTTAAGGGGAAGCAAGTGGCCTCTGATCCATAATCTTAAATCACTTCAGCATGAGAGCCCTCATCTGACAGCTGGGATGATGTATGTAATACATGCACATGGACTCTTATCTCCTGGTGCAACAGTGGCTCAAACAAGATGGATTTTTTTTTTTTATGTTTAATGCTACAAGTATCAGGGTTATTCATCTAATAATGAGCAGAGCTAAAAACATGACAAACCTAAGAAACCTTTATATACTAAACAGTATCTCATCCAGCAGAACCTGTTTTTTTGAGAGTTAATAAAGAGGCAGTACATTCTCTGTATATGATAATTTTTAAGCAGCAGAAAAAAATCTTTATAGTAATAATTTGATATATGAAAGACACTGAATTCAAATCTTATTTTTTATTGAAATCTCTAGGCAGAAAATGAAAAATTTATAGATATTAGCTCTTCTATAAGAAATAGGTCATTATACATGAAAGCAGAACAGCCATTAACTAACATGCACATGTCTCAAGGTCTCATCTAATGATAATGTTCTGAAATGTCAGTAAAACCCAAAGATTTTTCTCTTCTTGACCTCTTTGCTGTTCTATGGCTTAGGATTTGCTCAGAGAGCAATTAAATAAATGTCTATCATGTTTTAACAGCCAATTCCTTCAGAAAAGCCATAGGTTGAAAGAGAAAAAAGGTGTCTATTTAGTCTCAGCCTAAGCATCAATGGTGATTCGAATAATGAGAGCCAATTCCACATTGCAATGACTGAAATGGAAATCATGAGAAAATAACATAGTATTAAAACTATTCACTACTGGCCCACTAAGCTTTCATACAGGAGAGGTGGGCTTATGGTAAATAGACACAGGCTGTAACTTCACTAAACATTAATCTACAGAAGGACAGTGCAAATTAGTCGTGTTTGCTGTTAATAAATTCTTCAAGAGCTGTAGTAATAATTAGTGATACCCTGAGATGAATAGGGGAATCAGGCTGCCATTCCTGTGGTGTCCCATCACACAGCGATGTCTGTAAGTGCTGGCTGGATTTCCTCGTGGATGACGGGGGTAGAAGGCTTCCAAGCTTTGTGGCCAAAGAGAACTTCTGCAAAATTAGGTGTGACAGCTACATACAATTCCCTGCTGAAGAGGGAAGGTAAAAATCATTTGGACAAGTATTTTTGTTTCGTTGTAGAGGCGGGGTTGTTGGTCGTTCCTTGCAGATCGGGACGAGGTGAACAAGAAGTCTTCCCTCACCTCACAGAGCTGAGCTAGGACCAGGTACAGTTGCAATCCACGGTTCTTTGGAGAGCGGGATGCAGGAGAGATGGTCAGGGTCTCACTGCCCTTCACATGGGTCCACGAGCGGGGCCTGTGCACCGGTGGGGCTTCTGTTTCACCTTTATGGATGGTATGGATTATTTACCTCCTATATGCACTGTGCAGAGCCAAGAAAGATTACCCACAACAATCT